GCTACTGGTCAGATCCTACTTCCAATGGTGCCTTTAAAGCACCTACAGATGATAGGTATGATGGGCAATGGCAATTTCCAGAACAAGTCCCTGGATGAGATATCTCAAGAGGTAAAAAACCCCAATGCCTGAAAAAGCATTTAATCTCTGGACTCCTAAACCTGCAACAGCCACTCTGCACATCTTATCAAACAGTTTTGGCCACAGGAACTACAAGAGCCACTTTTCTGAGACTGCATGCCCCAAATGGCTCACTGTTTTACAGGGGGAGATTTCACCAAAATTCTTTCTCAGTCCCATTTCTTCCTTTTCCAGCCTTCCTCTCATTTACTTTAGTGGGAAATCTACCTGTTCCCAGTAGAGAAACAACAATATTTTGTTTCTTCATATATGCGATAACTCTGAAGGCATGAGTTATACCACGTTTATTTAATGGCTGGCTGGCTAAAACCTCCCCTGAAATTATTATTTTGTTGCAGGGAGGATCCCCTCAACATGTTGCAGAGGGATCCCCCCCCCCCAAAGATAGGAACCTTATTCCTCTTTGCTTCACCCAGATGCTAGCTCAAGTAAGTTCATTTAAAATTGCCAATGACAGCACTCAGTGCTGCAAGTTTTAACTTCGTTTATATCAGACCTCTCTTTCAAGGTACCACTTCTCCTGCAGCACACAACATGGTGCCTATTTCAACTAGGGAGGTAGAAGCTGTGATGACTAAGCTGTCTCTGATAACAAGCTCTTAGTTTTACAGACTTTGAAATAAACTGCTTGGACAAAGGGAATGTTTGTGGTTGCGGTCTGGTAAGAGCAAACATTCAACCATGTGTACGCCAGATAGCCTTCTGCGGGGGAAGAAGTAGAACAGGCGAGCATATGTAAGTTATACGCTGAAATAAACATCATGATAATTTCTGAGTTGAGGGAACACCATCATTCATTCCTCCCCCACACTCCCAAATTAATCACAGAAAGCACAGGAGAAAAAACCTCGTATGAATAATGACACAAAACTATTAAATAGCCGTAGAAGCGTTCATCAGAAAAACAACAGCCACGCAGGACTGTGTTCCTGAAACCCACTCACTCTGTGATTTTAGCAAACAGCAAGACCATGGTTTACTCACCTCAGCATGGGGAAAAGGAGGTTCTGGAAGATACACCTTTGTTTGTTTGTTATGACACAACCTTTAAAAGAAAAGGAAAATAAGCTGAGTTAGAGAGCTGCGGAACATCCTGCAGTATCTGCTGCCATCTACTGTTAAACCTTTTCTGGAGAAAGCCATTTCATATCTGTGGCATCAGGTGCAAAATCATGGACTTGTTTTGTTACTTCCAGTCTTTCTGCTTAGAGGACCAACACCTACAGGACACGACAACTTAGCCGTAGCGAGATCACTCAGAGAAGGTGCAAGACAGCTGCAGTGATTTTGTACGCGCTACATAACAGAACTCCTTTGCTGTTGAAGAGACATTTGTAACTCAACGCCCATGTCACTTCACAGCCCAGGCCTCAGCAGTTTTTGCAACGCCAAATCACCTGTCAACAGAAAAATTTCAATTGCCTCATGCCACTTCTCAGCAATGACTTGGTCCTTTTGTTCGTTATATTCTAATTCCCTTATGTATTTTATTATTGCAGCTACAATGTTGGTAAACTCTCTCTCACCATGGCATAATGCTCACTGTTATCTGCTATTTTACATGAATCATTTATTTTTAAAACATAAATATTGAAAGCTGTTGATAAGCTGTAGCCAGACTCCTGATTCATCCCATTACAGAAGTTAAAAAAAGGTATTTGTCAGAGGTCTGTGTGACGTCACAATTCTCTGTAGTGACACTGTCCTGGGGGCTTTTTCTGGGAAACACAACCTGTCTCATACTTTCTTCACTTTATTATAAAAAAGCAATAAGCCCAGGTCAAACTAAAGATGATAAAGTCTAAGAGATACTAAGAGCAGGACGTTTCTTTTAGCTGACTAAATAGTAGAACTGGAAGGCTGGAATCCCTGAATCTCAAGCCCAGCTCTGAGCCCAAACCTCTGTTTTACAGATGTTCAACCTCTGCCTCCGTTTCTACCTAAGGAAAACATTTACCTTACAAACAAAGTATTGGGAGATTAGCTAAGGTTGGGTTTGACTTTTGAATATAAGCCACTGCAGCAAAGTGGAATTCAAAAACATGGTGTCTGAACACTTGGGTGCCTGAATTGTGCCAGCAAGACACAGCAGACAAAACGACCCAACTGGCACACGTAACATTCCTGCCACTTTGCCAGCAATACCTAACCCAAAGGGTTATGATAACAAGAACTATGCAGCTATCACTTCAGCTGCTACTGAAATGAAATCACCGTGTAAGTACAAACCAAACAACTGTTTAACTATAAACTATATGAGTCAACACACCCTGGTGAGTACACTGAAATTTGGCCAGGACACCAAGGCTTGATTTTCCTACTTTTGCTGAAAGTAACGTGATTAAAATTCATCAGATTTCCTTCCTCTTTACAATTCTTCTGAGGGATCAATTCACCTAAGATTTCCAGGACCTCTCTTTTCTTTCCTGAGCCCTAGACTTAAAAAATCTGGAAGACATGAAGGAAGAGCTAACTTACTCTGTATAATAATCTAGAGCATCTCTCTGTCTGTAAGAATTTAGGACCAGTTACAAGTGGTTGGGTTCTCCTTTCCATGGCTCAGAATCACGGAACGGTTGAGGTTGGAAAAGACCTCTTGAGGTCACCTGGTCCAACCCCCTGCTCAAGCACCGTCAGCTACAGCAGGTTGTCCAGGATTGTGTCCAACTGGGTTTTGGTGTCTCCTTAGAGACTCCACAACCTGTCTGCACAGCCTGTTCCAGTGTTTGACCACTCTCATGGTAAAAAAGCGTGTTTCTTTTGTTCAGATGAAATTTCATGTGTTTTAATTTGTGCCTCTTGACATGCTGCTGTCAGTGGGCACTGCTGAGAAGAATCTGGCTCCCTCGTCCTCATTTCCTCCCATCAGGTATTTCTACACATTGGTAAGATCCCCTTGAGCCTTCTGTTCTCCAGGCTGAAGATTCCCAGCTCTCTCAGCCTCTCCTCATCTGAAAGATCATCTTTGTGGTCCTGTGCTGGCCTTGCTCCAGTAAGCCCATGTCCTTCTTGTACCGGGGAGCCCAGAATAAGACACAGCACTCTCCATGTAGCCTCCCCAGTGCTGAGCAGGAAGGATCCTCTTCCCTGACCTGCTGACAGTGCTCTGCCTGATGCAACCCAGGATACTGTTGGCCTTTTCTTGCCATGAAAATAAATTGTTGGCTGAGGAAAATTAAGCCTGAAAAATCTATTTTGCTTATACAGGGACACCACGGTATAGTTTTGGGGGCACTGGATAAGATGTGCAAACAGGCAGAGCTAAAATTCACTCAAGTCAGGTACATAATTTAATCATCAATGCAAGTACCAAAAAGCACAGATTATTTGAGTTTGTATGTTTTATAGGAAGCAACACTTCCCTAATTATAGAACATCTACTTACACACACACATGCACACCCTTGTGACTCAAGAAACGTGTTCACAATTCTAATCAAGTTTATATTAGAATATGACAAGTAAAGAGAACCTGCATTTACCATAGCTGAGAGTGTGAACTGAGGCTGATGAAGGAGCCCTTTAACACCTACCATTCAGCAAAGATCTGGGAGAACTCGAGGGAGCTGTTGGCAACAGGTGAGATGAAATAAAAAGGGACATTGGAGAGTCCGGCAGAGTCAATATACTGATACAGGCACTCCAGCAGATCATATATTACTCCAGAGGGGTAACAGGGAACCAGCACATTTCCTCCATTCCGGACAGTCATAGCTAAGGGAGAGAAAAAGCAAAAAATCAATTCACAGGGTTCGTATTTAAACTTTTTAATAGAATTCCTTTAATCCAAATATTACATAAGGTATAGAAAGAAGCTATCACATGAATTAGCAGGACACATTATGCATATGAATTGGGTGGAACACTTCTGATCATTAAATACAGTTCTTTACTGCATTCTCCAGGCTTAGTGGAGCAAACGACTATGCTCATTACCTGTGGGGGACATAACAGACTGAGCACATGCAAAACTCCTGACACGAGAGGGCGGTCTTGCACTGGCACATGAGGATAAATGAGTGGCACAAAACACCTTCCCATCAAAACAAACCCTGCTCCATCTATTAACTGTCCACCAGAGGGGAAGGACAACAGTTCAGAGGTCTCAGCTGAAAGCACTACACACGGTGAACCGTTCTGTACTCAGTTTTCAGGGCTCTAGACGAATGGCTGAAGATGTGGCTATTTCAAACAGCCCTCGAAGCTAGACGGAGGTGGAGGGGTGTTCCTCCTTCCTAAAAACTCCAAATATTTCTGTCCTTTCAATATAATGAGAACAATTTAAAACCTTTATGAATTATAGGCAGCATGGGACTAGAGAAAAACAAGGAAAAGAAAAAAGAAAAATAGGTTTACTCCGTAACCAAGACAGATCTGAGTACAACAGCAAAAGGGAGTACAGAGCAAATGTTTTGTTCTTTTGGCAGAACGAATTACAAAAATGTTGTACCTTATGGGAAAGTGGAAATACTTTGTTCAGCTCACTGAGCAATTGCTTCCTCACCAGGATTTCGTCTGTGGTCGTGGGGTAAAACCATCTACTGATGTTAATTGCAGTGCAGCAGCAGCAAGATTATGCATCAAGACATTATACAAAAAGCTGCGAAAGAGCCTGAAAACGCATATATTACATCCCGCCATAATCACTTCCTTGCCTTCAATTTATTGACAAGCTTTGATGGGGTACAGATTTAGCACATTAAGGGTCTTTTTGCCCCACCTATATGCTCAAGGAAGATTTTTATGGCTGAATGTTTAAAGGTTTTACGGAGTCTAGGGAAATGCACAGACTCTCTAGTAGGGTTTTTCACACGCATTTAGGTGCTTAGCTCCTTTTAGCAGTCAGTGCCTATTATGTGCTGCTCCCAACAACAACTGGTGGCCAAAGACACCTTCTATTTCACAGTTATAATATAACTGCAGTGTAGTGGATTTATTGCCTAGGTTTTCTCCAGGTCACATACAAACTATACCATCAAAATATTTGTGAATATGAATAGCAATACTTTACATTTGTCTAGAACCTGAGATGTTACAAAACATCCCAGCAATGTGTTATATTATCCCTCTTACACGGGTAAGTCTAAACTATCCCATCTGTAAACAGGATGTGAAGAGAGGAACGAGGAGATTAAGAACGATATTTTCAAAGCCATTTGGGGGCTGAAAGTTAAGCTGGCTCCAGGACCAGAATTTGCATTGCTCTGTTATACACCCAAAAATTCTGCAAAGAGGAAAGATAAGTACCTACATCCACAGCAGCAAGAATGTTGCGTGGGGCAGAGAGAGGGGATGAAGAGCACAGGGCTCATTGCTGATCAGTGGAAAATGCTCAGGGAAGGGGTATGTCTGCAGCTCTGTCTCTGCTCCGAACAAAGATACTGGCTGAAACACCAAGGTGTGTGTCTCCATGAAATGGGTTCCTTCTTTTGCTCAGACACCAGTTAGCTTCAGCCTGTTCAGATGAATGGCTCAATCCTCCCTTTGAAGAGGCAGAAGGAAGAGCTTTCATTTAATGATGGGCTGGTTAAAGTATTTGTCCAGCCCATGAAAAATGTGGGTTTCACTCCTAAGCCTTGAAATTTGAATTCACAGCTCTCCCTCCCCTGCAGCCATTGGTTTGCTATGGGAACCTCAAGCCTCTTCTCTCAAAACCAACCAGAAGTTCAAGATTCCTGGGGCCACAGAGAAAATAACGGAGGGTAAGGTCTTGGAGTAGACACCAACTCGAGTTTCTGTCCCCAGGAAAACGACAGAGCTGGTTATCAATAATTAATGTAGTAGCACAGTCCAGGGAACGGAGCGGTCTTCCAGTCAGCTGCCCTCCCCCTCGGCCACAGGGGTTGCTGGCCTCTTGAATCTCACATTCCTGGCGGCACAGTGACGCACCTTTCACAAAATCACAGAATCGCAGAATTTTCCGAGTTGGAAGGGACCTCTAGAGACCACCCAGCCCCACTCCCCTGCTAAAGCAGGACTGCCCAGAGCACATCCCTCAGGACTGCATCCAGGCGGGTCTTGAAAACCTCCAGAGAAGGGGACTCCACCCCCTCCCTGGGCAGCCTCTGCCACTGCTCTGTCACCCCAACCCTAAAGAAGGGTTTCCGTCTGTTGGAACGGAACTTCCTCTCTTCCAACTTGTGCCCATCGCCCCTCGTCCTGTCCCTGGGAACCACCGAGAAGAGTCTGGCTCCATCCTCCTGCAACCCCCCCTTTAGATACGTGTATGCCATAATAAGGTCTCCCCTCAGCCTTCTCCTCTCCAGGCTAAAGAGTCCCAGCGCTCTCAGCCTCTCCTCATACGGGAGATGCTCCAGTCCCTCAGTCATCTTGGTTGCCCTTCGCTGGACTCTCTCCAGCAGTTCCCTGTCCCTCTTGAACTGGGGAGCCCAAAACTGGACACAGGATTCCAGTTGTGGCCTCACCAGTGCCGAGTAGAGGGGGAGAATGACCTCCCTCGACCTACTGGTCACACTCCGACCTACTGGTCACACTTTGAAACTGGCCTGGTGAATACTCCTACTCCCCAGGATGGGAAAGGACAGCAACACAGCTGTCCCACCACTGAAAAGGCTCTGCGTGACAACTTTTTGGTTTAGAATACACTACTCAGTTCCTCGGTGCAAGTTTATTTGTATGTGCTGTGGTCAGCACAGCTGGGCACTACTTCTTGAGGATGCTCTTAAGTGGTTCCATAAAGGGATAAGAATTACCTCCCAGCTTCAGCAAAACAGGGATGAAAACCTTCACAAGCATATTGCTCTCCAGGCAAGCAGCAGGTCCAATCTGGCTCTCTGCACCACTACAGCAACTTTCTATAGTTGTCAGTAAGAGGACACGTATATTTGAAAGCTGTTTAAAGCCCAATTTATCTCTGTGACTGATGGATGCACTCTCTTGATAAAAGTTGTATAATAATCTTGGCATTTCAAATTTAGTCTCCTTCAGTAGCTCCATAACAAGTTGTTCAATTTACAACTCACAATGAGATACTTGCTCTTCAAACAGCTGCCACCACAAGGTCAAGTTGGCACCTGAAAAGCAAACTGTGCTCTTTTCTGCTTTATATAAACACACACACGCGCACGCACACACACACACAGAGGCACGACCGCACACGCACACAAAATATCACAAACTGTCCCTACAGACAGTCTGGCAATTTTGCTGATGATGCCCAAGGCAATGTAAAAATACAATTGCTTTTCTCGAGCTGCAGAGTGCTGGTGCTGCAGTGCTGAGCACAGAAAAAAGGGGTTTGGGCTAAACCGAGAGGAACTTGGAGACGTGACAAAGCACGGTTTCAGTGCTGCGCACACAATGCGGAGAGGAAATCATGCATGTGACTTGGTAATAATGGGCATCAGCATCTACAATTCTATACGCTGGGATGAAAACAGAGATCAAGGTGAAATTTTCACACTTCCATTTCTGTGCTTCACAACGCTTACTCACAAACATGCCGTTACCTCATGATATACATTTTTGGTAAATTTTCAGTGTCTGCTTTAGAGTTTTTACCTACTGTATTCTGAGCTTCTTGTGGAGTCCCCTGAATGTTTTGGAAATGAGAAAATAAATGAAAACTGTTGTGCTCAGCTTGCCTACTCTTGCTTTTCCCAGTAAACTATTGCTTTTTGGTCCTTTTTTACACATTTGAAAGAAAATCGATTCACTGTTTTCTTCTGACGTTGGGTAGATGCGTAAATACTGCTGGTGTCATGTGAAAGACAGTCCTACCATCGCATTATTCACAGAATTATTTAATTTATTCTGGTTGCTGTTTTTTTGGCAAATACCACTCAAATTCCAGATTCTTGCAATGGCATTCCTTTAAGCATGTATCTTCCTTTGGTCTTTAATAATTTTCTAATTTCTCTGAGTTTGTCTCATTTCAGAAAGAAGCTGTCTTGAAGATCTTCTGCAAAACCCTCAAAATAGTTCAGAATGGTTCTGTAAACCAGAACAAATTGTGTAGATAGACACCCGCCTGTACTTACATATGTAACACATTTATTTATATGCATTCATCTTTTGGATTTTGCTTTGGCCCAAGCTACATCTCTAAGACTCTGTATAATTTTTGAAAGAGTTTTAATTAACAACAGCCTCACTCTTGTTTAGTCAGCATACAGCTGTTGCAGTTCAAGACACGAGTGACCGCCACGGTGCTTGCTAGAGCACCTTTGCAGCAGAGTTGGCAGCACGGCAACACGTACCACTCCTCGGCTGCTCCACTACAAAGTCTAACATTTCAGCTCAGACTTGCTTCCTTGGTGGTTTGGATGACAGGATGTGATCGCGCTACCATCTGTCAGGGGGACAGTACGCCCAGAAAGGTCCAGAAGGGACAGAGAAGGGCAGCACATCTGGATCTAGCGCAACAAGGTCACCAAAGCTTATTTGCGACAGCTCATAGGGCAATAAAATTAACAATGCTTAAAAACAATGAAAACACAGTTGGTAATACACACACATATATAAACACACACATCACTTAGGCAAGGAAGTCACAGGTGTTAAGAATTAACACAGCTTCAAAGGGGAGACTGAACAAGTTCATGGAAGAGAAATCCACTGAACATTACTAACTACACAAAAGCCATGTCTGATTCAGGAAATATCTGAAATAAAAATACTTGAAAGCTACAAGATTATGAGGGGAAAGTATCATCTAATCTCACCCTGTTCTACTCGTCTCTAGGCATCTGCTTATGGCCCCTGTTGGAGCCAGAATGTTGGCAGAGAGGATCTTTCGTATAACCCATGATTACCACTCTTATAAAACGCCAAAACAGACTCTATCAATAGGTATTTACACTACATCCTGAGCCTGTAACCTGTCTTTTCAAAACTTGAACCCCATATAATTTTACTTTGTACATCCCGCAACAGGACCTATGACTCCTGTTTGAACTGAAACATGTCCTCAACAGAGCTATCTGATTTTGATTTAGAGATGGTGGGTGATGGAGGAATCTACCACATCCCTTGTGTTATTTGCCTTCCACTACCATGGCAGTCTCACACTGCAACTGTGAGCCACTACATGGATATTCAGCATCTGTGAATACGCACAAGGATTTAAAATGGGAAAAACCCTGAAGTATTGTGGGTTTTTTTCTTCTCCAAGGGTACGTGTAAAAAGGAAGACTAAGAATTTGCACTTCAGTTCTGTTCTCAGCCTTATTCTGCAACCTTGGGTAAGCCACCGAGATACTGCAGCTCAAATTTCTCCCAGGTGTGTAATGGGGACCAGAATACTTGCTTACAGTGAGGATTTCCTGATTTAGACTCCTCATGTCTTTTGATAACCTTTGTAACAATCCTCCTATCACAAGCTTTTTAGTCGTCTGGGTAAAAAGTAGTTAGTTTAAAATAAACAGAAGATCTCTGATAAAAGAGCAGGCAATATACAGCAGGACAGACACGAGAAAGTGGGTTGATGACAGAAGGGTGAGAGCACGGAGGAACTGAGGTGGGGGAAGGGGAGAGAGAACAGCACTGGATGTGACATTCCAAACAGGCTGGAAAATGCTGCCATTCACACTGATATCACAGCTTTGCAATTATCAGCTTTTCCAGCTGTGAAAGCGTCTGATTAGGTTTTATATTTCTGGGGTCTATAAATATATCTTGATTTTTTTTTTTAAACAGAGATTGTGCTGTTTGCTTTTGATATATTTAAAAATCAGGTGTAAGGAGGGAAGCAGATGTGCTTGTTTTCAAAACTGAAAGTCATAAAAAAGCATGTAAAGATTTTACACTGGCTGATATACAGGAAGGAAATAGTAATATTTCAGCTGGGAACAATATCCAAAACCTCGGCAACACGTAGTCTGTTGGCAGCTAAGAGACATACTTAGCAAACCAAGAGCAGCAGATGATTAAATCTCATTATACCTGTTCCATTCCAAAACATTTTAGGTACAACTTGTGTCTCTCCAAGCACTTACTGTATTAATGACATCAGGAGCACATCGTAAAATCTAAACAGCTAGTTTTATGCCAGAAGCTATAGCTGGACAACTTACTCAATTCCAGGAATCTCAGAATTATTTCCCACCCAAAGCAATGAATAAGATGATAAAATAGTCGTCTTTCAACGACCTACCCAAGTTGCTGCAGAACTCTCCTACCATGCCATCTGGGTTAGCAGTAGGGATTTGTGTAAGACCCGTCAGGATGAGAACATCACTATTTTTAAGAGAAGCCTGGTCCATGGGCTGAAACAGAGCACAGTGAAATCAAATGAGTAACATGAAGTTATAACACAGGTTTCTCTGCTCTGTACCAAGAGGACCGCAATATGTAATAGATACAGTGACCAAGAAGGGGAACACATGGAACACTTCAAACTTAACATTCCTCCATCTGTGGAAATGTAACTGGAGTTAATAAAAGCACATATAACTGTTTACCTGCATACTACAGCCCAAAACAAACAATGGAACTGTAATCGGATCCATCTCAAAGTAGTCTCCATAGACTAATCATTTCATGGCCTTAGGAGCTGAACACTGAAAAGACAGTAATTTGCTGAGGATGTGGCAGTGCAGTCAGGAAGGGTTTAACACTTGCATTCCTATCTCTGGATGCACTAGTTTCCAACTTGCTTCCCTTTGCAAATCAAGGTGTCAGCTTTGATTTCCAGAGCTTACTGGCTACAGGGGCAGTACCATTTTCCTCAACCATTCAGTGGATTCTCTTCAGAAGAGGTGAGATCACCAAAGGACTTTGGGCTTGAAGCTCCCAATTTTGTGTACGAATCTGAATGCCACACTAGGCTCTCCCTTGACTGTGAAGTCTGCTCTTGTGCCTGCAGTATTACAACCATGACTTTCAAATACTCATGTCACGTTGTTTGCACAGGCCTTTTCAGACGTCTGTTCTCATGAAATGGTAAATGGCGGGTAGAAAAGAGAAATCAGTTTAGATTCCTTAATATGTTTATTTATCTAAGAAATAATCAATTATATATATTAAGTTTTTAAAATGTAGCTATAATACCAGGTCAAACAGCCGAGTACTTCCTTAAAACCAGCAGCCGAAAACAGGTGAAAAATCATAGATCCAACTGCACAAAAAAACACCAAACCCCACCCCCCAAAAAGTAGTGCTCCCAATGCAACACCAGAGCTAAAATAATAGAGAAAATATGACTTGGCTTACCAGTCTCCCCTAGTGAATCAGACTAGCACTATGACCTCCTCCGATAGCTTTCTTTGAAGCCTGTGCTAGAAGCTAAGCTACGTCAAAGCGAAATAGATGTCTCCACCGGGCTATGAGCTCTGATCCGCTGGGTCTACAGTGTATGCTGTACTGACGACCTACAGTCATAGGCACAATCCTAGATTATGTGGTTAAAGAGCTGAAGGTAGCTATCACAAGCACCTATCCGTGCCGTGTCTGCTTCCTGGGGGACAGAAGAATTTACATCTGCACAGCCTATCCTGTGGCTCACAGATGTAGCAGAGGGACTGACAAATAAGTGGTCCAAGGAAACAGTGTGGCAACTTGGCCACTGGCAGGCAGTCTAACGCTAAAGCAAGCATGGCTTCTGCCTCAACTCCGCATAAAGGCTCACGTTTTTTCACTGAGGTCAATCATTTGACATGTTTCATACTGGTATTTTATTGAAGCAGAATGAAAATGCATACCCACTTCCCTCTGCTAGCAAACATAGATATTCACAAATTATACTTAAGTGTGACCAGATACTAAGTATACATTCTTGATACTCAAAATTTAGCATAATCCAATCTTGAAAAGGCAAAAACCACTTCTCTTTCTGCAGATGCAATACAGCTATGGTGAAAAGTTAACTTTTAGCCTAGCTCTGGGCTGCACTTCCCGCAGCTCCTATTCAAGCAAAGGTGGGCAACTGCAGCCAGCTGCGTGGTATTTTATGGTTATTTATTCTCAACAGTCCCTCTGCAGTCTCACCAACCAGGAAAGATTTCTGCCAGAAGAGACTGATGAAGAGATTTCCTATACTGAACTTAGAAGACCACTGTACAGTTAATTCCCTTGCTCACAGTCCCTCAGTGCCATTCTTAAGTAGCAGAGAAAGACCTTGATCCATTAAACATACAGGGGAATCTCATATCAACTTCAACAGAAGTTTACGCTGTGTACCACCTTCTAGGACCGGACCTGTTACATGAGATTTATTGCAATCTTTGACTCTCCATAGCGTGTCCGTGAAAATGAAATGCCAATAATGCAATAAAAAATAATATCGAATCCGCCTGTGATAATGTACATAATGATTACGCCGTATTAGATACGCATAATTTCAGCTGCTATTGCACTGAGAGGGCTTGCATTGATTTTTGTGGGTTAATGTAAAGAATATGTCTTAAAAGGCTTTTAGTGACATATCTGAACCTGTGCTATCAACTCCTGTTCTCCACTTCAGTGGCAACGGTGTCAATTCTAGCCTCAGTAGAGGGTGAGGCAAAATTTTCAACAGAAACCATCTGCCAGAGGACAGAAGTACAGGGAACAACTAATGGTGTCAGACCAAACTCTCAAACAAACCCTTTAAAGCTCTTCAGTTATTTTCAGCAGCTATGAATACAGTCTTGCTGAACCCTTCACTTGCACTTCCTACAGACCCGCTGAGGATTTCACAAGATACTCCTGCTGCTGCATCCAAGATCAACCCAACAGCCAGCGTTCACTGCACCCAGTTTTGGCTAATCTGTACATCCTGGGGCACGTCTAAGCTAAGCCAACCGTTTTGCTTTCTATCCGCTGTTAACACAGATGGACTGATTATTACAGATGTACCATAACTCTCTCTGATTATAGATGTCATCTAAATGTCACTTAAAATTTCAAGAAAACTTTAAGTCATAATTTATACCAAAGAAGCAATCCCACTCTCTTCCCATGACTGCCAATTCCCACCCGTGCTGCCGTCTCCACTATGTCAGCACTTAAATCCCAGCGCTGGCAGAAGGGAGAAGGAGGGTAGGATAGGGTGAGGGACCAGTTTCGGTTGGGTGAGATGAACCTTATCTTGTTTGCACCTTGACAGGAGGAAATGCTTTCCAGGCTATTACTGTGCCTATTAGACAAGATGGAGGAGGAAGAAGCATTTTTCTATTTGTTTGTCCAAATAATGTGTGTCTTCTCGCCCTAAACAAACAAATGGCTGATGAGAGCCTGGTCAACTGATGCCTGTTTTTAATAACTACGGAAGAAGTTCCAGAAGACTGGAATAGTGCTAAGATTTTACTACTATTCAAAAAGCTCTGGATATGTATTTACTTAAACCTATGCTGATTATCTGGATACAATTTTTAAAACAAAACGTAGTGACTGTTTTCATACACTGTTAAAAGACAGGAATGTCGTTATGACTGCTCACCATGATTCTATGGAGAAACAGGTCAGACAAACAACTTTTCACTCCCTGATGAAAAAATGCTGATTTGTTGGACACAATTTTGACTCTGTGCCACTCAAGATATTGTTATCATTACATAATGTCTGTCAAACATCAAAGAGATGAAAAGCTGGTTGGCAGCTCACAAAAAACACTAGTCATTACGGAATCACCATATTGTAGGAGCTTGTACTGGTGTTCACAGGGACAAAAACTATGCATCGTCTTCAACAACCATCTGGAAGCAAATAGAAGGCAATGATGATACCTGATATGCAGATGGTATCTGGTAACATTTGTGATGTGGTAAACAACAAGAAAAGGGCAAACAATGCAATTTCAACTACCTGGTAAGCTGTTCCTTCGAACTCTGTGTTAGTATAAAATAATGCAAAGTGCAATGGATTGCATGCTAAAAAATGAGGCTCTCGGAGAACAGGTGGGACAAGCAACACTGTCAGCAGAGTGAACAGTCCGGGATGCATCTCTTGTTGGCAAACAGAGTAAGTCCCTAGGGTTTCAGGTAGGCTTGCAGTACATTTTCCTGCACTTGTTAAAGCTGAAACTGCTCTAACTGCTACCACTTCTGCAGGTTGCAGCGGGTGAGTGCAGATCTGCTGCGCTCTTTCCAGGCAGTTCATCCACCCACCATTCCCTGCCACAGGGTGGTAATGTCCTTAAAACCAGGGACTTTACCAGAAGTTTCCAGAGAAATGTTCACCTTTGGAAAATGATGAAGCATGGCTAGTCTAACCTGATAAACTGAATCACCATTTCATGTAAATGAAGAGAAAACACTCTCAGTTACCAAACTTCTTCTTATAGTGCAAAATTTCTCCTCACAGAAATATTCCATTCATCTACTGTCAAATACTGCTGCTGCTCCTTCGCTAGAAGGTGACGGAAGAGCACGACCCAGGCCAGTAAGAGGCTGATGAGAAAAAGGGATTTAGAGACTCTGATACATTGCATAAAGCCAAGTACAGCCATACTATTAAGGACGGTTTATCTACTGTAGTTGTTCAGCTCCTGAGATCAAGCTTTTAAATGAAGGATGCTCAGAAGCAAAGCTCTTTAGAAGATACTCACCTTGGGGGAAATTACTTACTGATCATGAGCCTGACACATTTTCTAAATTATTTCTAAATACCTCCTGCTAATATTGCTTTTAACTGTTTTGACAACTTCTGAAGCACACAGTACTGCAAACTTCAAGCCATTCTTCACACTAAGAATTTATGGATCTAGAGAGAATTAATTTACTGGAAATTACATCTACAGCACTATAAAGACTTTGCCCTTAGCAGAGCAGGGTGGAAAAGTTGGCAGCCAGTTAGCTATCATTTCTCCCAAGGAAGGATGTTTCAGAAGTGATATAGAAGCAGTCTGTGAACTGTCTATAAAGACCCTTCGGTGAAATATGCATTTTAAAAAAAGTCACTAATGCGCTATTGTTTAACTCTCTTGAAAATTTCCTATTTAAGGAGAAGGAGAACCTCCCAGCTGGTGAGTAAGTTAAGATCAAATAATTGATAACAAAGTATTTTAGCTGTCTTTCCCTGTAACTATTGATACCTGTCCACTTATCAGGGTAGTAGATCTTCTCAATGCCCGTTAAGTCTAGCCAATTGCTAACAGAGGTACCTTAGTACAGCTTCTATACTACACCTGATCCCAGCAGGAAGAAGCCCCCCTATTTTTTTTCAGCAAAGACACTTCCCCCTGTAGAAGACTAACAAAAGTCAGAGGCTGTACCTGAGGGTGTGTTGTAAGTAGGGAAGATCCTGAAACATAGGAAACCTTTTCATAGTGCGACTGGATAATCCAATTTGAACTTCCAAGAGCGTAGCCTGAGCTGAGGGGGGTGACCTGCACAGCACCAAACAGCTCCTGAAACACACAGCAAGAGACGTTAACTTGAGCGAGCCCTCGACAGAAGTCTGAACAGGTCATTTTATCATCGGTGATACTAATTTTAAAAGTAGTTCTGTTATTCAAAGCCTTTATGAAGCTAGTGTCCAGAGTTTGATGTCTGCTGCTTTTATTTACCCATGTCTAACAGGATATATGCTCTGAGAAAAGCTTTTCCTGAGGTTGGGCCCTCATAAAGTTTCTCTTCCATGTGAATTCTACGGCATCTAACTGAGTTCACACTGAACCATAACTCTAAATGGAGGAATCAACTGGGGTCTTGATCCTCTGCCTGCCTTGGCTGTACAGAAGAAGCTTGCAGGCGCTTTACATCTTTGAAGACTATACTCCCTTAGTCAAATTTTATTGATATTGGCCAGCAGGAGAGAAGGAAGGACAAGTCGTTCTGTACTGGTATAAAACTCTGTTTGGGTTACACATTTTTCTGTGGAAAACATAAAGTTAACTTCAAACTCGCCCACTTCCTAACTTTATTTCTTTCTAAATGCTATCTGCTGGTGATTTAGAAACAACGCCCTGCAAACTCAATCCAAATTTCAACTTCAGCTCTGAGCATAAGCAACCCGACAGTTGTCTCCTTTAGAAAGTGTATTGCTTTATCTGTACACAGTAATGTGTTATACTTGTTTTGAGAAAGGCAAATAAGCCTCCATGTATACCTCACTAATGTGATCTACTTTCTGGTTACTGAATAATAGAACAAGCATCCGATTCATGCAATACTAATGATTTTTCTAGTATCCCAATACACATTTGGAACCTTCGCAAACCAAAACAGGGTCTCCATCCCCCACAGCGCGTAAACCAAGGCTCTGGATTCTGCTGATATGCAGACATGAAAAGTGGACCACAAACCATTCTTGATGCTGCCACGTTTTGGGTTAACTGGCTAATTAGGGTCTGATTATTTTAAAAGTTTGCTTTGGGAAGAGATATAATATGCTCTAGAAATGTCTTTTTTCCCAGTAACTATACAAGAATGATTGGCTCAGATGCACAGATCTAAAAATAGATGAGATACATCCACACTGTAAGTATAGTTGAAAATGAGCACTAACCACCCACAGACACTGAGGCAGTCCAAATGCCCTCAGCCTGTCCAGTTGTTAGACAAAGCTGCAGCTGTTATTTATGTCAGCAGGCATGTTAGTGGTGGCTTGGGGTCTTTTTTAACCAGCTGTAATGCAGCACCACACAAACCTAAATCCACCAAATTTAGTACACAGCACCACTGGTTACTGTTTTAAACTGTCTTACTCATTAAGAGTAGTCTCCAAACTTCCGTGGCCCATTGCTTAAGAAAAGGGAGAAAATAAAGAGCTTTGGGTATGCAACCTACTTTAACCAACCTTTTCATTTCTTAGGGCTCTGAGCAACAGTAGCAGGTATCATGGCCCACATACTGCCTGAATGCTGTAAGGGAACAGTGTAGCTGCAGACTACTGAACTGTTGGTTCAGTTCATTCTAGAAACTACACTGGATTATAGTCAACAGCATTACAGACAACAAATGTTAGCTGGGAACCCTGGGAAAGGAGTGTTTGAAGTTCACGTCAAACCATTAGGTTTTGTTTACAATCCCTAATTTGCTGTATAAAAGAAAGTGGAGGCTAAAGCACTCAAAAGATTCCCAGAAGTGAGATACGGTAACTCAGAAGGGGATGTGGCTTACAGACAGAGAGGATACATTCATTTGGTACATCCTCCCAGCTCTCAGTGGGCCAGCCATCAACTCCAAATTCACAGGTACGCCGCCTTAAAATTGGCCTCCCAGAGGAAGAGGAGAAACAAATGGATACTCCCTGACTTCACCAAACAAGAACCCTTCCTGGGAGGCAGACTGAGGGACGTTCAATATAATCTTGTCTTGCTTTCCTAAGCTAGGGTAACTAGATCTTACACAGGATCTAGAGGAAAAATAGAAAAGGAAGGGCATTTCCAGAGAACAGCTGGGAAACAACAAGTTGTTACTGTTGACCCGAGGACAGCTTTACAGGTACTCACAATTTTCTGAGAATATCCCACCAGCTGGATCTTACTGAGCGCAGCATTCACTTCTGGCATGGTGTAGCACTTCCTCCACATAGACACCTCCACCGCGTCCTTCAGAGGGGCAGGCAGCAATCTGCAAAGATCAACGAGGCGTGGGCATTTTCAGAACTTCTAGATGACTAACCAGCTTTTACTCCCATTTATATTCTCCAGTTCTTAGATTCTTCTCTTTTTTCTTTTTATTTTAAATATGCCTGGTGCTTCAAAGTGAGGAGCAAGACTTACTGCCTGTTGAGGAGTCGCACCACACTGCCCATTTTGCCTCACCCCAAAGACTGCTCTCCTTCAGCTCTCTTTGTTGTTGTTCCTATTCAGCCCTTTCATCAAAGAAGAAGGTGTGATGAAAGTGTTATAGCAACTCTTGTGGTACTTTCACCACTGATGAAAGATACCGGCTGATCTGACATGTCAGCGTGAAACGCACCATTAGGATTGGTAGAGATGACTGGGATCTCGGGTCAGTGTCGCTTCTGCATATCCTAAGAATTTGAAACCAAAAGTAAGCCACAATCTTGTGATTAAAATACAGGTACCAGACCATGAAAAATGCTGGCTCTGCTCTCATTTTTGTCACCGGTGTCTTGCAAGAACACATGTCCCAGCACCCCAGCTTCTTTGCCTTCAACTCAGATACCCCACTTGCCTTCAGAGCGTACTGGCAAGGAGACATTAGCTGACACTGCAGAGCTCTTTGAAATCCCCTACACGGAAGTATTTAAAATGTTTTACACCAAAGTAAAATCCATCCATTCTGCTCTTCACAGACGTTGCAAGTTAGCCGGACAGCGTTGTCAAGGGAAGAAGTGAACTGTAATGTCACAGCCTGTAAGAGAGATGCCTAACTTCTGGGAAATAAATCTTCCTTAGCAACATGAACTGAGGCAGGAAGCAGCACAGCTGCCAAATGCATAAGAAGAATAGGACTTTTTTTTATATTAAACCAATGCTAAATCAAAGGCTAATTCAAACCAATTTCCAAAGATTTATGGAAATTGGTCAAGTTTCTTTGATCAATTTGTTTAAAGGAATTTAATTTATTGTTATATCTACTAGGTCAGTGAACTCCTCCATAATTTAAGATACTGAAGAAAGGATTAAGGCCAGCTATTGCCAAGACGGCTGTACAGGTCTGGTGCGATAACTGTAATTCCAGCACATGCTGGCTGAAAGCATACTGCGCTTAAGGAAACAAACAAAGTGTTCAAGGTCTTTTTTGGGAAGTCATAAGCAACAAAAGGCCAAACAATGTGGATAGTTGTCCACCATTGCACTGAAGCAAATTGCCTGTAAAAGCCTTTACCCTACCAGAAGCAGCATTTAGTGTTGGATGCTTTCAGGAACTTCTCTTCTGGGAAGAGGAGAATACATCTCCAAGTAATGGAGAAAAGTGGGGAATTGTCCTTGGTGACTGAAGTGAGCTTCTATTAGCCTTGACTCTGTGGCTACGCTGTAAATATACTCTGATCCCTAACAGACCAGTAGGACCAGTCTCCAGTGGTTTCATTCTTTGCTGAGAGGCACAGAGAGACAATGAGGAGTGCTGGTTCCTCAGATATGCCCCTCCTGGCATTCAGCTTGTCACCCACACTTTTAAAATTTGCACAGAAAGTTACTAGAGGATATTTTAAAGTCTGGAATGAATCTACTAACACTATGGCAACATCCGGCATCCAGCTCTGGAGCCTCCAACATAGGAAAGACATAGACCTATTGGAGTGGGTCCAGAGGAGGGCCACAAAAATGATCAGAAGGCTGGAGGACGGGCTGTGTCCTCCTCTGCTGTGAGGAGAGGCTGAGAGAGTTGGGTTTGTTCAGCCTGGAGAAGAGAAGGCCCTGGGGAGACATTATTGCAGCCTTTCAGTACCTACAGGGGCTACAGAAGATCCAGGGAGGCACTTTTTACAAAGGCACGTAGTGATAGGATGAGGGGGAATGGGTTCAAGCTAGAAGAAGGTAGATTCAGATTAAATATCAGGAAGAAATTTTTCACTGTGCGGGTGGTGAGCCCCTGGCACAGGTTGCCCCGAGAAGCTGTGGCTGCCCCATCCCTGGAGGTGTTCAAGGCCAGGTTGGACGGGGCTTGGAGCAACCTGGTCTGGTGGGAGGTGTCCCTGCCCAAGGCAGGGGGGCTGGAACTTGATGATCTTCAAGGTCCCTTCCAACCTAAACCATTCCATGATTCTATGATCCTATTACGGATCACCGCATAACAACCAGACATATGTGGGGAGATGTTGGGACAGCCAACCTACAGCCACAGACAGGAAGGTATCACGAAGCAGCATGGTCCAGTGGTTAGTGTACAAAATTTATGCTTAAGAAAATCAGAAGCTTGTATTCTTAACTGGGCATCTGCACAGAGGCAGTCCCTCCTGTGCAATGCAAAGGATAACATTTAATATATGACATAACATGTTCTTGTTTGAAGGCAGAGGAGGATGGTAATATCGAACTAGATCAGAATGCTGGCCACTCTCGTCCACTACTCCATCTAAGGAAACAGCCTGTTTCAGACACTGTATAGAAAGATATAAGAAACCATCAAGCAGGTAGTTGGCACAGTGTCTTTCATAAAGCAAACTTCCTCTTTAGTGCCCTGAATGCTAATCAGTGTGAAAGATATCCTGGTTGAGCATCTATAGAGTTTCCATGAGATTGCTCATTTAAAATAAAAACCAATGGTAATAAAACTTGCTAAGCAATTAGTTCAGACTGGATTCGATAATGGAAAAACGTAAGCCACTATAATGAACTTCTTATATTTTATACAGTATTTGCATTTAAAATGCTTCAGTGCTTTATCTAATGAAGATGATAATACTTTGTGTTTTATACTAACTATTCAGAGTAGAACTAGCTGAACTGTAAAGCATTAATGGTGATTGATCAGCCTGAAAAATTAAAGTTAGACTCAGAAGTAATAAGTATTCTGTTCTAGCAACAGCCAAGAATTAAAAAAAATCACCGAGGATCACATTTTCTTAAATAACGGATGTCAGTCCAACCCTGCATGTGCTATTAGCCAGGTGTTAATTTGTGGATCAGTAGATGTTTGCTCACATGCTATAATAATCAGTTCCATTCACGCTTGCATGACACTTGTCAACAGGAATCTCAAAACACTTTGCAAACATTAATTAAGTCCCTGTATACCCTCTTTGGTGGGTAGGAGCTTCATTTTACAGAAGCATAGGGAGCTGAAGGGGGAAACTCAGAGCACAGGTGGGGCACAGTTGGACAGGGAATTTAGGTTAGTCCCCCTGTTCCAGCTCACAGACAACACTGGTTCGTACCAGCCTCAGGGCAGAGTTTGTGATACGCAGGCTTACGTTATAAACAGCTGCAGGGCTACTAGTTAGGTTTTGCTATCCCCACTAGCATAACATTTCTTTGCTCTGTCTCTATCTCATATTTGGGCAAGGTGTGCATTTTACTTGTGAGATTTGAGGGACCTGCCATCTGATGAAGGTTCCCAACAACATGCGATGTTGTGGCAGTGCGCTCTGCTCTACAGAGGTCTTGCAAGTGGGAGAGAAGGGTTGGTGCTGACTCTGTCCCCGGAGGTGTGCTCTTATACCTTCCTCCTACCTCCACTGGTACCCCGTTACAATGGCTACGTGATAGTATCAAGGAAGAAGTATGAATGTTACAGTACTTCCCAAGCAATACAAGACAAGAAAATGTATTTTAAACATCGCTTCAACAAAAGTACTCTAGCCTTCTATAGCAGTTGAATCAGAACAAAGATCACCTCTCTGTGTTCGCCTCTGGAATAGTCAACAGCGCACAAAGTGCTAGGCAGCACTTTTTCTAAAATACAGCCACCAGGAAAGTGACATTAAATGAGTTCCAAGATATATGATCCTCCTTTAAACCATGCATACAAAATGCATGCAGCAGTGTGACGAGAATAATGGCACCAGTCCCCTCTCTTCACATCACTGTGAGCTTCAGGAATGGTTCTGGTCAGGCCAGTGGACTCCAAAATCAAAAAAACCCACCACTATTCTCACGAGAGTATACATCAACAGCAGAAAATCCTGATCAGTTTTATTGTCTTTACTTCTGCTTTACATCTGTGTTTTACTTGCCTTCTTCAGAACAGTGAGTTACAGTGCTGAGATAAGACTGCTCCTATGCTCAGCAGGGGAGTACAATATATAGCTAAACATATGTTAATTTGTATTTTTAATTTCTGTGCTTTGTGATATTGGAAAATGACAAGACTACTTTTATTATGTATGAAATAATTCATTTTTAGTGAACTTCTAAATCAAGCCATGTTAAGAATTAGGAATAGAAAATGGGAGATCAATTAAAAATGCACAAAGTAGCTTTTAAAAATAACTTTCTAATTAACCAGCCTTATCTTTAATATGTGCTAAAACTGAAACTGTCTCCTCCATAGAACATGTTGTGCACCTAAAGTTGTTTTTATTTCCAAATAAAGCATTATCTGCAATTATAAACCGTGTGGATAATTTTTAGATTATATAAGCTTTCAAACTTTTAGATGTAGAAGATCTCAATTTTGAGCACCTTGTTTTTACATATGGATGATATAATCGACATGGAGTTTCCAGCTAATCTTTTTAATTCTAATTTCAACTTGTTTCTAAGCTTTGAAGGAAAGCAAAAACCCAATTCTGTTGTCCAAGGGTAAAAGAGGGAAGAAAGATGGCACTGCTCTGTGGTTGGTCAGCAGCAACTTCTAACAGTTGTGTCTTTACTTTCTTAGCATTTCAGCAAACATGAATGCAAATATAATTTTAAATTTTATTTTATATGATATTATAATATTATATTGTATTATATTATGTCATCGTATGTCATATTATATGATATGTTATATTATATCCCTTATAACCACGTTTAAATAGCTTGCTAATTTCAACAACTTTTTATTATATTAATACAAAAATCTGCTGGTTCTATCTACCATCATGGAGCTAAACTACGTGACGGCAGATCCGGGGAGACTTTTGTGTTACCAAGTCTCCCTCCAAGAATCCAACCTGCGTGGTTGTTTGGAAGACCAACAATCTACAAATGACTAAAGAAAGAACTGACACAAGGAGTCACAGCTGTAAACCTCTTAGGCTTTTTTTTCTGCTTAATGGTAGTAGCAAATCTCAAGTGGTATCAGCTGCCCTGTCATCACAGTGAATTCTAAACGTTGGTTCTTGTTTTAGGACTGTCACTTACCTCTGTACCTCCTTGTTCTTCCACATGGAGGCAGACTGAGCCTTTGGCACACGTTCAATGGAATTCACCAGTTCTTCCATGAGAAGTCTGAAAAGACATCGTAACTAAATTAGCATGGCAGCCTTTCACACAGGAGAGAACTTTGTCCCAAATGTTTCCCATTACACAAATTGTAACACTAAGAGGCGGTTTTAAATAGGGGTTCTTCCCACATAGGCATTGCAGCAATTACCCCTCACCAATACTACCCCTGTTTCTCCACTGAGTGTTTCAAGCTCAAGCCAGTCCAATTCCGTCTGCCTGGTTGCGACAGCAGAGGATCCAGCCCACTGGGTTACGGGTTATTTGGAAAGTGGAAGGACAAGAGGAACTCCCAAATCTCTCTCCTGCTGCACAAGATGATTTCTGCATTACTGACTGCTTGTCATATAGAATGAGACAAAATATATGATGAAAACGCATTAGCTGATGCCTGTTTATCACTTAGAGAAGCCAAGCACGTTGTCGGCAAACTCTCCTCATGAGCACACGAACTCTCCTCATGTACAAATGCACAGCATTTGAGACAGAAAAATACGTCAGGCATGAAAAATTGGGTCTGCAGATTTCACCGCCCCAAACTAAACAGCATTTGTAATTGTATGCATGCTTCCCCTTGAAGGTAGGAAGTGACAGATTTAACTGCAGAAGAATGGCATCTGGAATTACTTGGGGTAAGGAGCACACCAGTATACTCTCCAACAGGACTATGCTTGTTATCTTCAGCTACAGGCCAGCAATACCCCAGAGGTCTACTACTAGTTCATATTTATACAATTCCTTTCTCCTACAAGGGCCTTCAGTTTCTGTTTGTTTTTACACAAAGGGAGAATTACTCTGGCGTGGAAAGTTTGCACAGGACCTTTAATAGACAAAGATTCCTGCCCTGAAGTGCTTACAGAGTAGTTTAGATACCATGGCCTAATCTGCTCTCTATTGAACATGGCAGCTGTTCTGCATGAGAGATACACCCAGCACAAGTCCAGTTAGACTTCATCGAGGGCCAAACTTGCAGCCTTTGGTATTGACGTATCCAATCAACAGACAACTTAAGTATCTCTCTTTGCATTTCAGAGCTTATATATCTCAACTGTCATTTGAAATGAAGCCAGCTTAAATTCTCTTCCATGGTGTGGAGGAAAGTGTGATTATATGAATTTAAAATGCTGAAAAGCTACAAGGCAATAATCTTAAAGTCATTTATTGTTGAAAAGATCGGAGATCCCTCTTTTGTTTAAGGGCAGCAGAGAGGATCAGGAGAGATCTTCGATTCATAGTTTTTGAAGGTTTGAAGTTGGCTGTACAGTAATTGCTGCTCAAGGTTTCTCAGTCCACTCAAGATCTACTATCCCACATCTACTGTCTGGACTCAACACAAAGCCCCTGCTGTAAACGTTGGAGACAGACGGTTCCAGAGGTTGGGAAACATTGAGTTAACACATTTGCAGCACTAAGGACTTGGCTGGTGTTCAGCTACTGCCTAAGAGCCTCTTCGGAACATTAGACACCACTCCTTTACCCATATTGTCCTTTACACCTTTTCCTTAGCAGTGATGAAAGAGGAGTAGAGAATATTAAGGGGCTTTTTACCTGCCAATTTGAACAGTGGGCTCAGTGGCATACACCGTTCCAGCGAATCCTGTGTACTCTGTGATATAGGGCAACGCCATCATGCAGTGGTAGTTTGAGATCAAGATTACATCTACTGTGGAGAGGTCAAGCAGCTCAGTCTGAAAACAGAGGAAAGAGATAAGCAACATGTAACCCTTTCATGCAGTTTAAGCAATGGCAGAAAAACTTGTTCTTTTTTTAAAAAAAACTTTATATTGCAGGAATGTAACCAATTTATAGAAAAAGGGAAGCGGGGGTAAGTCTCTGCTGTGGCAAAGATTAATGATTCCTTTAAATTAACAATATTTATTTTAAAAGCCCCCTAAAATTATTTCCTTCTCAAATCTGAAAAGGAAACCATGTCCTGGGTTTGGCTGTCTTTCATGTAATGAAATGGCTGCCGTTAAGAGAAGCACGATGATTACACTTTCATCAAAGAACTGATGTGTGCGCTTCCTTAGGGAGGAACACTGCACAGGCACCAAAACTTCTGCAGCAGCAATTTAGCAGGGTGGCTCCTATTTTTTATGTGGCACATGACACTGTACCCCAGGACAGCAAGAGCGAGGAATGCAAATTGTACTTATTCATATGCTTAAAATAATTCTCATATTTTCCCAAACTAAATGCTTGGCATCTTTATTATTCACATTTTCTACGGCAGGAGATTAAGCTCATTCATAGGATACCACAAAACGGACGGGTGGGTCCGATTTGTTTTGATGTGACAGTTAAGACAAAGTGAAAGAAGATTTCACACATTGTTAAAGGAATTTTAATTAGAAATATTTACTGGTAATGCTATAACACAAATGGTGTCAAGTCAGAAATTTACAAGATATATGACCTCTAACTCAGTTATTATAGAGCAGCTAATGGAATTCAACACTCATCAAGCACATATTATCTGATTACAAGGCTTGGTCCAGCAATTTGAATAAAAAAAGGCAAGAAAGTAGGTCACTCGGCTTTTCAGAGGGCTGACACAGTGCTCTGGTGACAAGCCGCTTAACTCACAGCTAAGCGTTCATGGTTTCAATCCATGATCACAGCTAATGTTGAAGGCACGATCTCCAAGCTGAGTACAGAAGGTGAAACACCATCCTCGGATTCATGACAGGGCACCCTTTTATCTTACTAAGCTTGCCAGGCAGAAATACACTCACTTCGTGGTAGCAAAGAGCCTGCTGACACCCGCCCCTACCAAGCTGTCCCTTCATGTCTTGGTTTTCAGCCGTGTTCAGACCACACAGAATCAAACGGGGAGTCACTCAGCCCTGAGCTGAATCCCAGCCCAGCAAGCCATCAGCAAGATACAGGCTACCACTTTCCAAGTTTCAGCATCCCACATCTCAGCATCCTCAAAGCATTTACTGAGAGGATGAAAAGGGTGTCAAAACCAAAACAAAGTAAAATCTTCCCTGGGACTTGCGGCAATCTCACTAAAGGTGCCTATGAACTGAAGAGGTTTAAAAATATTTCCTGAACGCAAAGTGAGGGAGCCCAGAAGGTTGCCAAGCAAAGAGAGGGCTGCACCCTGCACTCTGACATGTGGAAGTGTACTCTGCTGCTGAGACAGCCTCTTATCACCTTGTGGCTTCTGGATTACATTCAAAACTCGGCTTTCTTTGGCAATGGTATTCCTGGAAGTGATACTGCGATTCTCAAACTAACTGCTTTTGCAGACAAGTTTCTTCAAAAGAAGTGACGTGGGAGGAGACAAAGAAAAAGACAAAGCCTCTTTCACACAAGCTCCTTCTTATACTGTGCTGCCAAACACCAGCAACATTTCTACTCTGCTGATGCATTCAGCTGGCCGTGACATCTGAACTCTCCTCCATCAGGGGAGCCTGTGAAGCCAGATATGTGAGCTGGGTATCACTAGCAGATCTGTTCCTCATGCTTGCGGAGAAGAGTTGACATCTGTTGGGAACTTTGGGAACCAAAGCATTTGAAAGGCCATTTGTAAAGTCCCTACAATGGTGACATGTGCAGCTGGTTGCTGTCTTCTCGTTGCAATATGGGCTGCTGGAAAAGAGAGTTAGCTTCAGTAGTGACACCATTATAATGAAGCAGCAACTCCCCATCAGTCACATTTAGAGCTACATGTGTATTTTCCAGCCCAACAAAGTAACCAGAAAGCCCACCTGAAGCACCCTAAACTCCAGTGGATTATAATTCCTATGCATGGCCTCAATTCCAAAGGGAATCCAGAACACAAACTCCTTTCTTCTCAAGATATGAGACATAATGGCACTTTCCAGGCATAGAGATGCTTCCTACATCCCTCCCTTCTACAGGGCAGTAACCAGAAAGCACACAAGAACTCAGAATTATTAGGGTTTTTTGGAGATTGGATTATATCCATTCCTGTTGAGGAAAACAAGCAATTGCACACTATCTGTTAATATCACTTGCCAAAACTAGTACCAGAGCTGCCAACTTTCTTCAAAGAATCAAGATGACAAGAGTCAAAAGCTGCAAGAGGTGAGTTTCATGGAATCAACAGACAAAAACACTACTGCCAGAACCCCAGCAATGTGACATCAGCCTTCCAGGGGTGTTTTGTACTTCCTGTCAACAAGGTCAGGCAGAAAGGAAGAAAAAATCGCTGCCCAAAAGCAATCGGTCTCTGTCTTTGAAAGACAGAGAAAACATCCAACATGAAATGAAAGAACTGATGTTATCACAGTCCGAACACAGCTGAGGAAAGAGGATACTATTCCCAGACTATTCCCCATCATTCACCCCCACCACTCTCTGCTCAGCTTTTTACTTATTCAGCTCTCCTACACACACTATTAACCTGATCAGTCAGGTAAGCCCAGTTAATTCAAACATTTTCAATAGTCTTGCTTTCTGTTTTTTTGGGTTTTTTTTAAACCCAGGTATTCTTGAAAAAAATAGAGCTCGAGAAGCAGTCAGTCATGCTGCAGTTATGTCAGTGGATATGAAAGTACAGTTCTTCCCTCAAAGAGGCAGTGATGAATAGCTAAGAAAGCAACAAAACTTTTAACCTAAATTTGCTGCCAGCAGCCCAGAAGAATCAAACAGTGGTTTAACAACCCGGTCAGCTCCCTAGGGGAGCTCCACTAGGCAGGTCATGCATCTGTGGTTAAAGACAAGCAGCTTTCCTTGTCTTCATTCACTGCCCTTATCTAGATCAGCACATGTATCCTGTCATAATTGAGTCCAGCTCAGTTATATTGTCTTTTGAAGGCCTATATAAAGGGACAGTGATGTCTTATTCTTCTGTGAGATATTGATCTGCTCAAGGAGACCTTCCAGATCTCCCAAAACCGTTGTTGAAAAGGGCTGTTTCCATCCTTTTTCCAGTGTCTAGATACTAGGGACACCTTAACAACACAGAGGTTTTAGGAGTATTATTTACTGAGTAGTAATAAATTAGCAAGAATCTGATAATAATTATTTAGGAAGTTTCTTCCACGTGATTGAATGGAGTCAGATTTTTCAGTGAAGCTTTGAGCAAACTCACCTCTGGTAAACAGAACTCAGGCACAGAGTCTACAAACACATGGCCAGAACACTCCTTTAGTTCCTGTAAGCAAAGCACACCAACAGAGAAGACATAAAAATGCAATGCAATGTTACTCCAAAGTGCAGCAGATTTTGCACTTTCAAAACCTTTTCTTTATCAGAGGAAATTTCCAGCCCGTTAATACATTATGTTTATCCCCCTTCTAGATACAATTTGCTGTAAGCAGATCTGCTGAAATTGCTTTCACGCAAGATGAGGCTGCTCGCTACTTTAAGGGATCAGATCCTCGTCGGGAGGAACAGAGATGGCACTCTGGTAGGTAAGGAAAGAGACCCTGGTAACCACTGGCTGGTTTTGCTGGGGCCATGAAGGAGGTGCTGTCCTACAAAGCTGTGTTTTCTCTGCTCTTCCAACTGCAGCTGTGTTGGCTGGGAAATCTGTAACAATGCAAGTTGACTTTGTCTACCAGAATCAGAAGTAAAGTACAAACTGAAAATTGGGTCATGAAGACCACTCTTGTCGGAACTGCTGCTCTCCTGACCTGGAAGGTGCGCACAGCACCTTTATAGTGCCCTGGCTGTCTTACAAGTTTGGAATTTAGTTTTGGTTCCCAAGAACATCAAACCTTTTCTGTCTTATTAAGAGCAGAATGCAATTTTTAGCCCCTGCCTCAGAGCATTTGATCAAACATCTTTTGGGGATCTAAGCTACATGTGGCACTTTTTGTTAGATTTATCTCTACTGGATTTCTAGCCCTTTATTGTCTTGCTCTTTTTTCAAGGCCGACATCAGAAATCTTTGTCACACGAAAAGTCACATTCTTCAGGATTATGTACGGAACAAAAATATTCCCAACTCTAGTTCTAACACACCTCACAGGCTACTTATCACCCACTCTGTCTTCTCTCATGGATGCTTCTCTTGCTTGTCCCAAAGCGAGTGGTCTCAGCCAGCTTCAGACTGACAGAATTAAAGATTGAAACCAATTCTTAATAATTACAGTGCACCTGCCAACTAATAACGAATGAGCAATTACATCTAGTGGCAGAAGTCTCCTAACCTCATCTCAAGGGAGTTCAAAATGATTAAAACTAGATCGCAGCAAATTTCAATGCCTCTCCAGGACTTAAGTTTTATAACTGTCATCCAGAGAGTGCTATAACAGGAATGTCCACCCGACATGATAAAACATCCCCCTTTGACTCCTTCCCTTGCCTTTTTCCAGCATGGGTCAAAGAATTTACCATTCCAAGCAGTTACAGCGGTCAAGGTGAAGGTAAGAGATGCTGCCTTTGAATTTTTAACACATGATTTCCATTGATGCTGTGCGAGTTTAAAGATTTCTCCTGAGCACACGCTGCAGCAGCAGTACCACAGAAACATAAATACATCACGTATAAAAATATACTGACAGCCTACCCCTTCTTTGGACAGAATGGGACCCAAAGCTCTGAGACCAAGGCTGGGGTTCAGGAGAAACAAATTCCAGGGAATTCAAACTGGGCAGCTCCATTCCTGTCACTGAGCCTCTGTAGCTCTGCGACTGCCAGTTAGCATGTGCTTTGAATAGTTGTTACTATTTTACTAACAGAAATGCTGCCTATACAGTTTCTTTTGTCTCCAATGAGAAGAAAAATCAGGTCTTTAATCTATGATCTTCAGCTCCCTTGCCTGGAAAAATCAGATCAATCCATTTTGTCCACCTCAAAGTCCCCTACAAAAGCAACTATTATTACTGTTTTCCTTTAATGTTCACATAGTCAGGGAACAGTCTATTAAAACAGTATTTTCTCTACTGATACCTATCGCTGCACACATTTGAAATGTATCTGCCTATTTTACTAACATCTGACATATTTTTGTGTTCATTGTTCCCCTATGGCAGATCAAACTGGATGCTGCAGTGCCCAGTTTTGGTTGAAGCCCCAGATAAATTTTGCCTACAAAACCAATGTAATGAAAAGGGGGGTGGGGAAAGAAAAATTCTGTGTCTCTTATGTAGCTGAGTAAGTCCTGTATCCTCAAATTAGCAGGCTGGAGATAATACACTCCCTGCTATGTCCAGCAGCAGAACACACGTTGATTTCAGAGGCCCAAGACATGCTTTTCCTCTATAAGAGACCTCCCATGGGCAAACCATTCACTTTCTCATAGTTCTCCTGCCTAAAAAAAGGGTATGGTACCAACTTCATTTATAAGCATGCTCTGAAGCTTTAGTGTCAGAAAAGTGAGACTGTTGAATAAAAGGCACTCTAAGAAGGCAAAGCACTATTATTTATGGAGCTCCCTGAAACCAGAAAATATTCATACTGATGATTTCTGCATTTAAAGAGGATTTTTTAAAAAAAGCTAGGCTACCTCTGAAGACTGAAAGCCTCAGAGTTGCCATTAGCATTTTGTTTCAAAACCTTCTGCTCTACAAGGACATTATGGCTGGTAAGGGTACACATAGAAACCTTTGCGATGAGTCAGCATGGAAGTATTGTTCCTGCAGTGCAAGCTCCTAACCTGTCAGGTAGCTTTTTGCATGGCAAGAAAATTCTAACCATAAGTATAGTACCTTGTCCAGAAATGTGCTTCCATCTTTCAAAACCCAACCAGGAAGTTTGGACAGCCTGGGGCTGCAGAAAGAGAAAAAAAACCATTGCAATATGAATTATATCATTATCAGTGGCTAAGCATTGACCTTCTATTTGGTGTCATACAGGAAGAGAACACCATTTCTGTCTCAGGGAACTAACAATCTCAATAAAACAGACAGACAGTTTCACTGTGTTTAAGTGTTCATTGAAATGACTTTTACAAATCATGATTATGACACTTATAAGTAAAAAGAGTAAGAGGACGTCGCATGCAGGGAGTTTGATTTTAGTCATTTACAGTGAGAATTTCAAAAAGGCTCGGTGCCGCCCTGTGGTGAAACTGGTTGTATAAACAGAAGAAGTTAGGGCAGCAAGAAACTCTATGCTTGAAACAACACAAAAGCACCGTAAAACTGCTCTGGGACAGACGAAGACAGACAAATATTCCCATTAGTAATGGCAGGGACAAACTGATGCTCTGGACTAAGTCATTTATAGACACAGAGGTTGTGATTTTATATCCACACAAAGCATGGTTTCATGCTCAGGTGAAGACCCACACCAACAGCTGTACACTGTATTTACCTGTGTTGGAAGGACAAAGGGGCAAGGAGGTTTTGCCGTGGAACTGCATGTTTTAAGCTGACAGGTCCGGTACCTGTCAGCAATGGCATGGTCCCTTCTTTTAATTGGTTCAAATGCTAATAAAGAAACTTCAAGGTGGACACTGTAATCCTGAGTTTGCAGTAGTAATTGCTGCAGCATTTCTTGCTACCATAAGTGAGAGACATTCGTACTTCACAGTGACATTTGATTTTTGTGTGAGCCTACTACAGCTTAGCTCAAAAACCACTGTCTGCCCAGATTCAAGCATATCTACAGAAACGCAAAAAGAAAGAAAAAGCTGAGGAAACAAGAGAATTGAACCTGCCTGGAGTCAAGCCCTGCAACAACCTCAGATTTGGAGACAGAACTTGAGAACTGGGTTGCAATGAAATCTGCAAGTGCTGTGCCCTAAGCTCTATAGACAGGCATGCTTATATGCTGTAAGGGCTTTCAAATTTAAGTTCTTGAAAAAAGGAAGCGATTCAAGGGCTCAGAGGAATGCTGTGTTCAGACTAACATCAATATAAAAGAACAAATCCTAACTGGCACTCCAGAAAGTCACAAGGAAGGAAAAAGGGGGAAATCTAAGACTCAAGGAGCAAAGACAGAAGAGGTGAGAGCAGAAGGATATGTCATTGAGAAGCTATGCCAGTGAAGTGCAACCACCTTTTGACGATGAAGTCTGATCACAGAAAAGATGAGGTGGCTAAATGTACTCCCCACTGACCCAGTCAAAAGCACAATTCAAGAGCAGTATTTTGGAGACTGAGGGGGCTGAGCAGAATTGTTGCAGAGAGACTAAAAGAGCTATGGAAAAGGCAGGGGAAAAGCAAGACACCATATTATATGATATGCAACAACAGAAACCTTGGTTGGAAGGGACATCCGGAGGTCTGTAGTCCAATGTCTCATAGCCAGCATGAGATCGGGTCAGCCACAGCTCTGTCCAGCTGTGTCTTGCAAATCCCTGGAGCACCACATCCTAGAGCCTCTCTGGGGATGGGGGAAAGTGCTAAGAAAGACTTCATCACTGGGAGGCTAATGTCAAAGGCAAGCCTCTCAAGACACCATTTGCAGCCACTAGCCCCTTATTTTGTCTGCCATTGTTGAAAAGAGTTTGGCGCTGTTGTCTTCTTTTGAAGGAGGTGTGGGTGGCTATTAGCTCCCTGTCTAGCCTCCTCTCTGCGAGACTGAACAAGCCCAGCTGCCTCAAACTCTCCGTGGTCTCTTTGGAGTCATGGGATCTGGACCCTGACCGTCTTGGAGCCCCCTGAACACCCTCTACAGTTTCTCAGCACCCCTCTTCAATGGGGTATCCAAACCTGGATCCATTTGTGGTTTCACCAGCACAAGGCAGAGTGGAATAAACTTTCCTTGCTATGCTTGCCCTGCTCCCTCTAATTTAGCCTAGTATGCGGTTTGCTTTATCCATGATGAAAGAGCACTATTGACTTGTACTAAACCTGGCATCCACTGAAGAGTGTAAAAGGCAAAATTAGAAGATAGGTCTTGTGTGGGGGTGAAAGTGGAATAAGCAACACAGGACAGAAAGGATTACCTTGAAGGCAAGAAGCAACACAGTTCCTGCCGACATAGTTTTTGACATTGTAATAGAGTGATTGATTAATCCAAAATAGCTAGAACTGTCCCATAAATAATGTGAGCAAGTGTGTCATGGCTAGACAGGAAAGGTTAAGAGCTTCCCACATGTTCATTTTACCGTTTTGCATTTGACTTTGGTACAGAGGAGAAAATTCCAGTTGACAAACCTCCTTTAAAGTACATGAACTGGCATAAAGTGTTTGGCAACTGCAGTTGCTTTGCACGTGCTCCATGGGCTGGTGAGAACAAGGACTGCCATTTCCAGGACAAGGTGGAATCTAAATACCTTTTGATGGGCTTTTTTTGAAGAATAAAGAACTCTAAAAAATGTCCAGTCCCTTTAGTGACACAAACACTACAGCGCTTTCCTCCCTTATAGATTAAAGCACAAGGCTCTCCAAATGTTTGCTCAAGGAGGGTCCCATGCCAGGTACAACACAGGATTTAGCTGCATAGCAAAGATCCTCTGTAATATCATACCTTTATGCTCCATAGAGGTAAAAATCAGGGCACCTTTGCAGACCACAGACTGAGACTTGCAGAATCCAAGTGGTTCATGGATGATACTTTGGAGACCTCTGGTTTAAAGACAGCAGAGAAGCATAGCCCTTCTGCGGTCAAGGTTTCACATGGGTCCATCTCAGCCTAGCTGCAAGTAGCAGCGCATGTGGTTCCAAAAAGACATACAACTGGTAATAACCTAATATCTGACCTATGTTCAAATTCTTGCGCCGCTATGTGCTTCATGCAAGACCTTCTTGTAGTCTCTCTCCTGGAAACTGATGATAATATCAGGTCTCTGTCACCTGGCCATGTTATGTTGATAATACACATTTGAATTTCAGAGGTATTTAGACATCATGTTAATGTAGACCTGATATATAATAGTACAACTATGAATTCTATAGAGAGATAAGGACTTTTTAGTGGCAGCCACAGTCCTCCTCAAGTTTTTAACTCATTTCCACAACTCCCTGCAGGACATGTGTTTTGTAGAGTACTGAGGAGATCAATTACTTGCCCAAGTCCATGTGCTCAGGACAATCCTTGCTGTAAGGGGTGTTCAATCACCTTACCGACAAGATTGATTGGATTTAAATCCAACTGTTTGCTCGGATTCCACTGGGCCATCAGGGGTCAAATCTGACATCCTTTCTTATTGAGTTTGAGTCATTTTAGTGCAGACATTCTGGAGGTACTTGGGGAATTCCAGGTTGTGACCTGCAATTTGGCTGTTCATTCCCAGGGTCTGCTATCAGCAGACAAAGCTGGTATATCCCAGGGGAACGTTGATGCCTGCAGTTCTAAAGAACTTCTTAAGCCTTTGTTCACTCACCTAATTTTGCCACTTGTTCCTCTCTTAATTTCCTTTTTCTTTGGGGGTAGGAGAAAGCGAATGCAAGGCGATTCTGTCTGTACCTGGATTTCCCAAATTTTCCAGATCCCTTCAAAATCTACTACTGCCCCTAAATGTTGTAGTTAGCAATTGCATTATGGAATGGAACAAATATTGACTAATCACACTGACCCATCTTAAGGCTTCTGTTGCCTGCTCTACAGCAGATCTTGAGCTCCATGTTCTTGCAGAACAATGCATACATTATCTATTCTTTTCCTCGCCAAAAAAAACCCCAAATCATAGGAAGTGCTGGACAAACTGCTTTAATCTCATTAGGTCACTTAGGAAACTCCCTTTCCCAGTCATATTCTCCTCTCAACCAAGCTTCCCCTGAACCCAGAATGTTCCTCACTTGTTTCTTTGTGGATCAAAGTTACTAAATGGCTTGTGTGAAAACTCCTGCTGCATCACCAAGAGTTACTCATTCCCATCTTCCCAACCCCTCATTTTTGTAATGTATTCCATTTATGCAAGACATAAGTCACCCTAACTGAATATCCAAATTCATCTAAAAACTTGGGAAAATACGACCTCGTAGTTAGGGCATAGAAGGGGGAGCCTTAATCTCAGGATTCTCTTCTAGACTCTACTTTTGTTTCACTGCTGTTCCATTCCTGTGTCCAGCTGCACTGCCCTTTTATTTATTTAATTTTTAAAAGGGAACAATTATGCCATCAAGTCAACTAACGAGGATTGTTAAGTGCTATTTTTCTTTGCATTAGCCAATGCTCTGAAGAAAAGCCTGAGAAGACGGCAGTTAAACAGTACTTGCTGGGCTCCATGAACTCCATCTCAGTTACCCATTTATCTCATCTTGCATGAAGAAGCCAGAAAGATGACAGATATGTGACCTCACTTGTGCTGAGCAGTTGCAGCAATACTTTACTGAAGCTTAGAATAAATTATCTAGAAAAACCAATCAATAAATCCATAAAATGTCTTCCGTCTACTGAGCCAAAGGACGTTATTTTGATAAAGAGAATTTTTAAGTGAACAAAGTCTATTTATGATATCAGATGATGCTGTTCATTTGTACCCATCCCCTCCCCTCCTTCCAATACACCATTTCATGCAGAGCACTCCAACTGCAACCCAAGAAGACGCAGGCTAAGTGCTTACAGGCCGCAGAACATACCTCTGAACCAGTGGCAATGGGAGGAAATTGAGGGTAGACGTCATATCCAGTCCACAATCCAACATGATGGTGGTGGATTTGAACTTGAGTACATTGCATGGTAAGGTTGGATGTCCGGACAGGCAGTACTGAAAGAAGAATATGAGGATGAATTACTTACTCGTGACCTTACCAACAGAGTGAAACCCTCCCAAAAAACCTTATTTTAAAACATGTGGTTTCATGCATGCCAGAACAAAACCTGATTTCCTATGAATCTGTGTCTCACAGCTGTGTGCGTTCATTGAGATTTCCCCATGTCAGGGTATTAAGGGGCAGACTGACTTCAGACAAGTTTTTCTGATCACAAGGGTTGAGAGGATGGCATAGGTCTTCTCTCCAATTTAGGACACATGTAGAATCTCTTTTTTAATAACAGCCATCTATTTTCACAGAAATCCTAGAAAATCTGTTTCTTCAAAACTCAGTCCTACTGGCAAAACTTGGCTGAAATTGGCTAGTAAATTTGAAAATTACTTGGGGGAGCAAAGGGAGGGAGAGAATCCCTGCAGGAACACAAGTTTTATTTCCTTAAGAAAGCAGCCTAAACAACCCAACAAGGTGCAGCCCGCACCTTCTTCGGCTGCTTGGCACAGATGAGCAGAGTAAGCTGTACAAGTGCAGGGCAGCAGCTCTGAGGCATGCTCTCACCTGCTTTTTGTCTTGCTAATGGCAAACAGGAAACACAAGGGAACGGACAACCATACCAGAATGGAAGGGTTTGTGTACTGAGAAATCCCAAATGCTTTGCAAGCTTAATGAGCCAGTAAGCAGGTTATGTACAGGGGCACTTCAGCATCATTGAGATGCAGTCACCTCTTGTCTGGAGAGTGGCAAACATTTAACAAGGCACAGGAGCAGCTGAAGCTTTGAATAAGAAGAGAAGTGAATAAAAATGCCAGCTTTAAAATGTGGCATTAGAAACATAAATGTCTGAATACAGCGTGGCCACCTCCGCATGAGGGTTTCTCTTCTTTGATGAGAGATTCGATGGTCCTTCAGGGATTGCAAGGATAGGAGATTTTGCATCTCAAATACAAGTTTTTGCATCTCCAAAGTCTGGGCATCTGGGTGCAGCAAAGCTCAGGTGGTCAAACTTCAGCTTTTAAATTCAAGTTTTGGTCAATTAAGATGAAAAATAACAATTGGTTGGCTGTGCACTGTACTAAAAACATATCCAGTCATTTTCTAATTAATTTATACCTTATGCTTGCTTTCTATATTTCACTCTACAAAGTGGAAAGCAGGTAGATCAATCACTTCATTTTCTACCTCTGCTCACAATATGTTAACAGGGGACTGCAACTGTCTGGATTAACAACTCCCAGGGAGACTATTTACATACATTCATCAAAAACCTGTTTAAAATTATATTTAAATATTAAAAAGCTACTAAGCCCCAAATATTAAATTAATAGTATCACAAAGACTTTTGTTTTAAATTCACAAAGCCTTAATTATTAAGGAGCAGCATTACATTTTGCCTGCTGTTAGCAAAGTTTAAAAAAAAGGTGAAAAGCCAAGCTGGGGAAGAAGTGAGTATAGAAGTAAGGAATTCAGTTGTTTTATTCGCGAATGTAAATTACGCATGTGAAATTAAGGTCTCACTAGACTAGAACTTTGACAACTGAAGCTATAAATCCAAGTAAATAGAAGGAAATGAAGGAAAAAAGTAAGATCTAAACTATTTTTGCAGCTTTTAAACTATCCATAATTAAAAAAGGCAATGAAATATCAGCACTTTTATCAGCAAATCACTTTCTTGCTTTTCTTAAAATCACGAATAGGATCATCATTTCACCCTGAAATCTACGAGCTAACTGGAAAATCTTCCTTTTTTCTTCTTTAAAAGCATCTAAAATAATCTATATCTGTGGCTGTCACGCTGTGGTAAATGGATTCCTGGGAGTCAATGGACTCTATCAGACTCAAGTAAAGTGACTTAAAAAGAAAAAAAAAGGCAACTCATATATGCTATAATGCTATACAGCTATTTGTACAGGTGACATTTCTGGGCCGGTTAGAATTTTAGATTAGGAATCCAAAAATCTGAGTGTTTGCACTATATATGTCTCTATACACACCATAAATGTGGTAATTTCCACCAAATTTATACTTGTTGCGGTTTAAAACAGATCCAGAGATGCCATTCTTTAATATTCCTGACCAGACTAAAATGCAAACCCGTTTTACTCTAAGATGTGTTTGCTTCCATCTTTATTCCCTTATGACTAAAGGCTGGTGCAGCTAACACACTAGGTGCCTCATCTCCTAATTAAAAAATAGTCATGCAGAAAAGTCACAAAACATACAAAAGCCCCACAATATGCCGACTTCAGCTCACAATTTTCTTGTCAGGCTTTGTAAATTGGATAAAAGTTTGACAGAGCAGGGCACAAAGAGATGAAGATGAGGGGCTAATTGCAGATACTGAGGTCCCCACAGAGGCAGGTTCTCAGCAGACATCTGGTTCATGCTGAGCGCTCGCCAGCTCCCAGCGTCTCTGGTGATCTCATGGATGGCAATGTGACAGAGAAAAGAGATGATGTCTCACGCTAGCAGCTCCAAAACATTCAAAATTTTGCAGGTTAAAGCTAGTGCTTTGGATTCCAACTGAAGACAACAAATACTGCAGCGCATTCTTCCAGTATCAATATCACATGCTAGCTTAAAATCTGGAGGAAATTTGCAAGTAGAGTTGCCTGGACCAAAGTACATGTGAATTTGTGGGAGTCTGCCATTTTCACTGGATTCTAGGTCAGGTCTGGAGGTTTGAACCTCTATCTTGTTCTTCCAAACTCAACCCAAATAGATGAAAAAAGAGGATAAAATAGCATCCATTTCTCCTCCCACAACCCCGAAATTCAGCCATGTCTCCAGGCAAATACAAGATGAAGAATCTGGTCTTACGATCCCCAGTCTCCAGATTTACACATGGGTCTAAAAATGTTACAATGCAGATTTCAGACGGCTTATATTCCCCTTCCCTTTCTCTACCCCTATGCAAGACTATAGATATGACAAAGAACTCTGCATTTCCACTATGGTCTTCATCTGAAGATTTCTTAGTTTGCTTTTCCCGCTGCATTATATTAACCTCTACAATCACATCCAGAAGCACTTAGCTTTGCACCGTTTGTCTCACTGGTAGTATTCATCCACACAGAGACATAATCACATATGTAAGATTATGTGGGATCAAGCTCTTCGGCCACCTGCCTACCGAATTAATTTTACAGTTACAGCACAGGTAGCAATTTACTGGAAATCTCAAAACAAGCCCAGAATCCAACTTCACTTCTATGAAGTTTCCTCAAGACAAACTGCTCGGTCTCAAAACTGAGAGGCAATCTTGCGTTTAACAACGGTGTAACTTCAGGTTCAACAAATCAAAGGTTATGCTCAGGTATTTTGAAAACTGCTTTGGCTTTCATCTCCAAAAAATTGCAGCACATTATGTGAAACAGCAAAACTCTTGCCGGAAAATAAAGCAGTAGCTGAATACAAGGTCTCTGGGAAACTTAAATAATTGAAAAGGAAGATCTGGAGAGGAGACCAATAACACGGGTAATGTATTTTCTGATAAGCTTCCCTTTAGATCAGAAGCAACCGATTTATCACAAGCGTAGCGCACCCTCGACAAAGCTATTCCAGGCTGATTTTCTTAGTAGTAATTAACTGTATTAACATCATACTGCCGATGGAAAAACGATTTTATTACGAACCACGGGGACTTATTACTATTTTCCTAGAGCGACCCAGCAGGAGTCACACGTGCGATGGGCCAGCTCCGCCGAGAGACTCGTGTTGAAGGGTAGGAAGGTAGTGAAACACCACCACCACCTCCTCTTCCTCCTCCTGCTGCTGCTGAATGCCACCGATGTTTCACCCAGCGTTGCGAGGGGGACGGGACATGGCGGC